AGAACCAGCTTTTCCATTTGGCAGAAAAGACCATTGGTATTTTGGTAAGGATTCTGTTGAATCTATAGATTGCTTTGGGTAGTATTGCCATCTTTACAATATTAAGATATCCAATCTGTGAGCACAGGATGTTTTTGTATTTCTTTAGGTTTTCTTTAATTTCTTTCAACAATGTTTTGTAATTTTTAGTATACACATCTTATGCCTCCTTGGTTAAATTTATTCCTACTTATTTTATTCTGTTTGATAACTATTATAAATGGAATTGTTATCTTTATTTCCTTTATGGATTATTCATTGCTAATGTATAGAAATAAAACTGATTTTTGTATGTTGATCATGTATCCTGAAACTTTGCTGAACCTGTTACTAGCTCTAATATGAATTTTAGGTGGATTCTTCAGGATTTTGTATATATAGGAAAAGTTTATCTGTGAATAGAGATAGTTTTACTTCTTCCTTTCTAATTTGAATGCCTTTTATTTCCTTTTCTTGCCTAATTGCTCTGGCTAGAACTTTCAGCACAATGTTGAATAATAGTGGTGAAAGTGAACATCTTTGTCTTATTCTTGATCTTAGAGGAAAGCTTTCAAGTCTTTCAGTATTGTAATGTTAGCTGTGGGTTTCATAAATGCTCTTTATCATGTTGAGGAAGTACCCTTCTTCCTGAGTCTTTTAATCTTGAAATGGCATTGGATTTTGTCTCATGTTCTTTTCTGTACCAGTTTTCTCATGCTCAACCACCCCTACATTACTGGGAGAGATCCCATTTGGTTGTGGTATATAATCCTTTTAATATACTGCTGAATTTGATTTGCTAGTATTTTGTTGAGGATTTTTGCATCAGTATTCGTAAGGGATGTGGGTCTGTAGTATCCTTTTCTGGCTCTGGTATCAGGGTAGTGCTGGCTTATAGAATGAGTTAGGATGTATTTCCTTCTCTTCTATCTTTTGGAAGAGTTTGAGAAGGATTGGTGTTAATTCTTTAAATGTTTGGTAGAATTCATCAGTGAAGCCATCTGGTTCTTTTCTTCGTTGGAAGCTTTTTGATTACTGATTTAATCTCTGTACTTGTTATATGTCTGTTGACATTTTCCATTTCTTTATAAGTCGGTTTAAGTGATTTGCATGTTTCTAGGGATTTACCCATTTCATATAGTTTATCTAATTTGTTGGCATGCAATTGTTCATAGTATTCTCTTATAATCCTGTTTATTTCTATATGGTCTGCAGTAATGTCCCCACTTTCCTTTTTAATCGTAAGTATTTATGTCTTCTCTCTTTTCTTATTTGTTAGTCTAGTTAAAATACTTGCCAGTTTTGTTGCCATTTTTAGAAGTAACTTTGGTTTTGTTGATTCTTTCTATTTTTCTCTTCTCTATTTTATTTATCTCTCAAATATTTATTATTTCCTTCCTTCTGGTAGCTTTGGGTTTAGTTTGGTCTTTTTTTCTAGTTTCTTAAGGTGTGAAGTTAGGTTATTGATTTGAGATCTTTTACCTTTTTAATGTCGGCATTTACAACTATAAATTTCTCTCTGAGCACTGCTTTTGCTTCATCCTGTAAGTTTTGGTATATTGTGGTGTTTGTTTTATTTCAAAGTTTTTCTAATCACAGTTGTGATTTCTCCTTTAACCAATTGCTTGTTTCAGTGTGCGTTGTTTAATTTCCTTCTATTTGTAAATTTTTCCTTCTGTTATTGGTTGCTAGTTTTATTTCATTATAGTTGGAGAAGATACCTTATATGATTGTAGTCCTTTAAAATTCATTGAAACTTGTTTTGTGGACTAACGTATAGACCATATGTTATTATATGTTATTCTCCAGGATATGACCATATCCTGGAGAATGTTTCATGTATACTTGAGAAAAAAGTGTATTCTTCCCTTTTTGGGTGGAGTGTTCTATACATGTCTGTTAGGTCTTAGAGTGTTAGGTTTACAGTGTTATTAAAACATTCTGTTTTCTTATTTATCTTCTCTCTGCATGTTTTATCCATTATTGAAAGTAGGGTATTGAACTCTCCAACTATTGTAGAGCTGTCTGTTTCTCCCTTCGATTCTGTCAATATTTGTTTCATATATATTGAGGCTTTTTTGGGTGCATATATATTTGTATTTGTTATATTCTTTATGGATTGACCATTTTATTAATATGTAATACCCTTCTTTGCCTTCTGTAACAATTTTGACTGAAAGTCTATTTTGTCATATAGTAGTATAGCCCTCCCAACTCTCTTTTTGGTTACTATTTGCATGGAATATCTTTTTCCAGCCTTTCACTTTAAACTTAGTTGTTTGTTATGGACCTGATATGTGTCTCTTGTAGACAGTATACAGTTGGATCATGTTTTTAATGCATTCTGCCAATCTCTGGCTTTTAATTGGTGAATTTAATTTATTTACATTTAAAGTGATTACTGATAAGGAAGGACATATTTTGCTATTTTGGTATTTGTTTTCCATATGTCTTACATCTTTTTGGTTCCTCAGTCCTCCATTACTGTTTTCTTTTGTGTTTAATGGATTTTTTGGGAGTGTACCAATTTGATTCACTCGTCACTTCCTTTTGTATATATATTTTAGTTATTTTCATAGTGATTTCCCTGAGGATTACAATTAACACCCTGACTTTATAATGGTCTAGTTCGATTGATACCATGTAGCTTCTATAGCATGCAAAAACTCTGTTCCTATACAACTCCATCCCCCTCCGGTGTTATACATTCATTACAAATTTCATCTTTATGCATTGTTTTTATTGACATAAGTTTATTGATTTATGCATCTTTTTAATCATGTAGGAAACAAAAAATAGGAGTTAGGAACCATAAATACAGTAAAACTGGCCTTTATATTTACCTCTGTAGTTACCTTTATTAGTGTTCTTTATTTCTTTGTTTGGCTTTCAGTTACTCTCTACTGTCCTTTCATTTTAGTCTGAAGGACTTTCTTTAGCATATCTTAAAGGGAAGGTGTATATTTCTTTTTTTTTATTTATTCAGGATATTATGGGGGTACAAACATTTTGGTTACATGTAATGCTATTTGCCTTGCCCAAGCCAGGGCTACAAGCATGTCCCTCCCCCATACAGTGCGTTCTGCTTCCATTAGTTGTGAGTTTATCCCCCCACCCCACCTCAACTGGCACCCAGTGACTATTACTACCACGTGAGCACCTTAGTGTTGGTCAGTTAGTACCAATTTGATGGCGAGTACATGTGGTGCATGTTTTTGCATCCTTGTGATACCTCACTTTGAAGGATGGGCTCAATCTCTATCCAGGATAATATAAGAGGTGCTAGATCACCATTGTTTTTTGTAGTTGAGTAGTATTCCATGGTATACATATAACACATTTTATTAATCCACTCATGTATTGATGGGCCCTTGGGTTGTTTCCACATCTTTGCAATTGTGAATTGTGTTGCCATAAACATTCAAGTGCAGATGTCTTTATTATAGAATGTCTTTTTTTCCTTTGGATAGATGCCTAGTAGTGGGATTGCTGGATCAAACCGTATTTCTATTTTTAGCTCTTTGAGGTATCTCCAAATTGCTTTCCACAGGGGTTGTACTAATTTGCAGTCCTACCAGCAGTATAAGAGTGTTCCAGTCTCTCCACATCCACGCTAGCATTTGTTGTTTTGGGACTTTTTGATAAGGGCCATTCTCACAGGAGTTAGGTAATATCTCATTATAGTTTTGATTTGCATTTCCCCAATGATTAGATATGTTGAGTACTTTTTTGTATGTTTGCTGGCCATTAGTCTGTCTTCTTTTGAAAAGTTTCTGTTCATGTCCTTTGCCCATTTATTGATGGGGTTGTTTCATTTTTTCTTGTTGATTTTCTTAAGTTTTATATAGATTTTTGTTATCAGCCCTTTGTCAGATGTGTAGAAAGCAAATATTTTCTCCCATTCTGTAGATTGTCTATTCGCTCTAATGATAGTTTCCTTGGCTGTGCAGAAGCTTTTAAATTTGATCAGGTCCCATTTGTTTATTTTTGTTGCTGCTGTGATTGCTTTGGGGATCTTCTTCATAAATTCTTTGCCTAGGCCAATGTCTGAAAGAGTCTTCCTGACATTTTCTTCCAGAATTCTTAAGGTTTCATGCCTTAGGTTTAAGTCTGTTATCCATTGTGGATTGATTTTTGTGAAAGGTGAGAGGTGGGGATCTAGTTTCAATATTCTGCATGTGGATATCCAGTTTTGCAAGTACCACTTATTGAATAGAGATTCTTTTCCCCAGTGTATATTTTTGCCTGCTTTGCTGAAGATTAGATGACAATACGAGGATGGTTTTATATCTGGGATCTCCATCCTATTCCAAAGGTCTATATCTCTGTTCTTGTACCAGTACCATGCTGTTTTGGTTACTATAGCATTTGACAAAAGTCAGTACACTTTTATGATAAAAAATCTTAACAAAATAGGCATAGATGGGACATTTCTTAGAATTATTAATGCCATATATGATAAATTGACAGCCAGTATCATACTGAATGGGGAAAAATTGGAAAGCATTCCTGCTTAGAACAGGAACTAGACAAGGTTTCCTACTATCTCCACTTCTATTCAACATAGTGCTGGAAGTCCTTGCCAGAGCAGTCAGGCAAGAGAGGAAAATTAAGGGTGTCCCATTGGGAACAGAAAAGGTCAAACTCTCATTCTTTGCTGATGATATGCTATTATATCTAGAAAATCCTGAGGATTCAACCAAGAGACTCTTGGAATTGATAAATGAATTCAATAAAGTCTAAATGGATGTTGAGTGAATGAATCAAAATTAGGTGAATCTGGGAGAAGGACATTTGCAGCAAGGGTGCAAAGTAGAAAAGCATGAAATGTATGTGTCACATTCAGGGGCTCTTAACAGTTGAGTATAGATTAAGTAAAGGGTATACTTGTAAGCAAGTGGGAGGAGCTGAAGTAGCTATCATTCTGTCTTCACCCCTTTGGACGAAATCTCAGTTTAATCTGCTTTGCCTTCTCCCTGCAGTCTACCCTTCCCTGGAGTCTGATGATGATGACCCTGCTTTGAAATCTCGAACGAAGAAAAAGAAGAATTCAGATGATGCTCCATGGAGTCCTAAAGGTGATCCAATATTCTGTTCCTTAAACTTTGTAAAGGTGGTCAGAGGAAAAAATAGGCTGGGGCTAGGAGGGATATTTAATATCAGAAGACCTGACTTAGTCATTCATTTGTTATTCAGCAAATATTTGTTGAGTGTTTTCTGTGTGCCATGTACCGTGTTAGGTGCTGGAGCCAAAATGATGAATAAGACACAGTTTATGTAATGAGTCCAACAAAGCTAGAGGTAATGGAGTGTGTTGCTTTTGATGTTATGTGGCTTAAGGTGAAAAGAGGAAGACCTTGAACAGATGTCAGCAAGCATCCTAAGGCTTCTGAGAACATTCTGATCGCATCATCCCAGCCCTCTGGTAATTATGTTGTCAAGAAGGGACATTCTGCTGACTATGTTTAGCTCTACAAGGCCCAAGACTCAACTGAGAGGCTGTCTCTGAGGAAGGAAGGAAGAATGGCCATTAAGTGAACGTGGAATTTAGTGGATGATAAAAAAAATTTATTCATTACCTTGGCTGGATGGTTTTCACATTGAGGGCCCATTAAGTTAGCTTTTGCTGCTTAACAAACCGCCCAAAACTTAGTGGCTTAAAACAACAATTGATCATTTCTCATGATTCTGTAGGTTGGCTGAGCTATCCTTCTAGTATGGGTCAACTTGACAAGGGCTGGTTGGTCTCAAAAGATCTAGGACCTAACTTAGATCACTAGGGCTTCTCTCCACATGGTCTTTTATTCACCAAAAGGGCAGCCCAGGCTTATTCCCAAGGTGGGAGATGGGTTTCTAGCAGCAAGAGAGGATAAGCCTCAATGTGCAAGTACTTTTTAAGCCTTTGCTTGTTGTCGTATTTGCTATATCAAAGCAAATTACATGGCCAAGCCTTGATTCCGTAGTCCGCAGCCCCCAACCTTTTTAGCACCAGGGACTGGTTTCATGGAAGGCAATTATTCCATGGGCCGGCGGGGGTGTGGGGAGGATGAAGAGCGATAGGGAGCAGTTGTAAATACAGATGAAGCTTTGCTTGCACGCCTGCTGCTTACCTCCTACTGTGTGGCCTGGTTCCTAACAGGCCACAGACTGGTACCGGTCCAGGGGTTGGGGACCACAGCCATAGGTGGAAACATAGATTGTACCTCTTGAGAGGAGAGCTGCAAGGTCACATTGCAAAGGTCATGCATACAAGGAGGTGTGAGCAAACTGAGGGCCATTACTGTAGCAGTCTGCTTAGAGGGCACTGGGGTCTCAGTAAGTGTGGTTCACCAGGAGATAAAGGGCCTGCTGTTCCCACCCAGCCGTATTTAGTCTTTCTGGTGTTTGCTTGAGGTTGGGGGAGTAGGGGAGCAGGGCATTCCTAAGAAGTGTTCTCTTAGTCAATCAACAAATGTTTGAATTTTTAAAAATATTCATGCCTATTTTCTGGTTTTATTTTGTCCTACAATATCTAGCTTTATTTTCTCCTGTCAAACTTTTCTGATTAACATAGTAGAAAATTTGGAAAATACTGAAAATAGAGGGAATTATAAAGAAGAAACCACCCATGATTCTGCCACCCAGAAGCAACCACTGTTAACATTTTGTCATATTTCCTTCTAGATTTTTTCTATGCTTCTTTTTCTTTTTGTAGTTGAAATCACACTGTATACAATCATATACCCTACTTTAAAAATTTTTTTAGCCTTTTAATCAAAGTAGTATATGTAGCAAATCAAATAGTATGGAAGAATTTAGGATGAAAAGCGATATTGTTATGCCCCTGCTTTCCCCACCTTTGATCCCTTGCCTGAGAGGCAGCCTCATAGTTTTCGTTTCCTGGTAGATACCTCGAAAACTCAATATAATAGAGTTTATACCACTATTTCTTGATTTATCAACTCTGTTTCTCCTTTGATCAACTTCTGTCAATCTCTCTTGATTATTGACTTTGTAAGATGTGATATTAGTGCCCCTACTCTTTCTTCCCTCCTTCAGCCTTCTTTGAACCATACTTTTTTGTTTATGCTATCAAGGATGTTAACATATACATTATCTTGTGATTAATACTCTACCTTGACTAGAAGTTGACTGTAAGAATTGAAACCAATAAATATATCTGGCCTTTTTGCCTTAATATTATCTCATAAGCATGATCCTATGCTACTGTTTATTTTTCAATGGCTACAAAATATCTATCCCATGGATATACCTAATTTATTTAACTCCTCTTTTAATGTGAGACATTTAGGCTATTGCCAAGTTTTCACAGTTAGTAATAACATTTGGGATGAACATCTTTATATGTAAATGTTTGTGTTCTGATTATTTGCTTAGGATGGATTCCCCACGAAAACCTTAGAAGGGCCAAAGTATATGAAGGTATACAGTGAAAAGTCTCCCTCCCACCCCTGTTCCACAGTCTTCTAATTCCCCACCAGTGTTATCACTTTCTTCTTTATCATTTCAGAGAGAGTTTATGCATATACAAGCAAATATATGTATGTATTTTCCTTCCCCCTGTTTTTGTTTTTTTTTTTTTACTCAATTTGAAACATACCTTATACACCATTATGTGCTTTGCCTTTCTTAATAAAGCATCTTGGAGATTGTTTATGTGCCCACAAGCAGTGCATGAGAGTGCTTGTTTCCTACACCATTGTCAACATACTTTGTTAATATGAATGTTTTAAAAGCTCTTGGTACATATTGCCAAAGTGTTTTCCAGAAAGGTTGTACCAATTTACACTTCCTCCAGCCATGTGTGAGTGCTCGTTTATAAAATCCTTGAGGGTATGTATTAAACATTATCAGTTAGGAATAGTGTTTGCCTATGAGTAATAGAAACCTCTCAAGCATCCTTAGTGAGTGCTTATTTCCTCAGGGTCACAAGATGGCTACTTCACCTCCAGCATTGGGGGTCTGGATTGCAGTCAGGAAGAACGAAAAAGCAAAAGGAAAAAGGAACAGGCCTTCTGAGTACCCTCTCTTCCCAGGAATTTTAAGTTCCACTTTTTAAAAACATCTCTTTGGTTACAGTTGTGTCACATGGCCAAGACTATAGGTCAGAGAGGCCAGGATGTGTGGTTTTTATCTAGGTATATTGCTGTCCCACAAAATCAGGGATTTTGTTAGTAAGCGAGCAGGAAAGGGAGAATAGATACGTGTTTGAGAATGGGAAGTCTCTACCATAAGTTTTTTGTTTTTTTTTTTTCTCTCTACTATAAGGTTTTGATCTTTGGTAATTCACAGGCAAACAACAGCATGTCATTGATTTGATTTGCATTTCTTTGATTAAGCATTTTTAATATATTTGTATTAGCATTAGAATTTCTTCTTTTGCATATTTTTTGTCCTTCGTCCATTTATCCATGTGGGTCTTCAAGCTTTTCAAATTGCCCTTTTTATGTAGTGAGGGAATAGTCATCTTTTGTTTCATATACACACACAGACATATATATAATATGTTATATTAATATATATAATTTGCTCATGGTACTTTTACTTCATTCTACCTGAAAAATCTGAATATTTCTATATCAAATGTTGATCTTTTCTATTATTTCCTTATTCAGAGAATAGATAATTAACACCCCTGTATTTTTTAAGCATGATTTTTTTTAAACATCTAATGTTTTAATCTATCTAGAATTATTTAGCATATGGTATTGTCAGAGGATCTAAATTGGTTCCTCCTCCTAGATAGGTAACTATTGATGCTAGAATCATATTCCCACAAAGCTGAATTGCTTTCTTTGCCGGGTCTACTGACTCATATGTATCATAGGCTGTTTGTGAAACATCTGTTTTGTACCATCAATCTTCTGTCTGTTCTTGCGCTGGTATCTCACTTATTCAGTGCCTATTCGTTATTTTAAAAATCCCCAAACTTTAAAAAAGTGACTTTTAGGCCAGGCACAGTGGTTGACATCTGTAATCCCAGCACTCTGGGAAGCCAACATGAGAGGATCACTCGCAGCCAGGAGTTTGAGACCAGCCTAGGCAACATAGCAAGATCTCGTCTCTACAAAAAATTTAAAAATTAGCCAGCATGGTGGTACATGCCTCTCGTCCTCGGTACTTGGGAGGCTGAGGCAGGAGGATCACTTGAACCCAGGAGTTCAAGGCTGCAGTGAGCTATGATGACACCACTGCACTACAGTCTGGGCAACAGAGTGAGACCTTGTCTCAAAGAAAAAAAAAAGGGGGACTTTTCATTAACTAACAATGAAAAGATACTCCCTTAATACGAAGAAGAATATCTAGCTTAAACCAATAGGATGAAACCATAGAGCGGAGCTAATTTAGTTGCTGTTCATGGACTTTTAGAATTTTGAATCTCCTAAAATTATATTAAAATTTTATGTAAATGCATGTATAAATGTATATGTATTTCTTTAGCTAATAACTTTTATCACATTTTCAAAGTGAGTTCTTAACCCAGAAAAGATGGAGACATTCTACTAAAGGTATGCCCATTAAAATCAGTAATAAGAAAAATATGCCCACTAATACTGCTATTTTTTAGTATTCTAGAAAAGTTCTAGCCAGCATCATTAGAAATGAAGCAGAAATAAGAACTGTAACTATGAGAAATTAAGAGACCAAGTCATCATAATTTGAGCTGTCAGGGTGGGAATCCTATTCATTTTTGACCATCATTGTATCTGTAGCACCATGCCTCATGCCTGGCATATTAGAGATATTTAATAAGTAATCTTGATACGTGAAAGAAAAGATATGGTTTTATAATAGATATAGAAAACTGAGATATGATATGATTATATAATAAAAAATGCAAGAGAATCAACTCAAAACTGTTAGAACTAATAAGAGAATTCAATAAAAATGTGTAATAATGGACACGCTTGAAACTCGGACTTGGGGGGGCAGGGGCAACATACATAACCTAAACATCTGTACCCCCATAATATGCTGAAATAAAAAAAAATGTGTAATCACTGTATATAAACCAAATATCCAAATATCAAGAGTTGCCATATTCAATAATAAACATAACATACTGAGGAAAAGATCC